CTCCTCCCGCATAGGGACTGTTAAGGGGACCCATGATAATTGCTTGCCAAACGAACATGTTCTCTTCAGATACGGGACATGCACTGATGTTTGAAGAAGGATCCTTTTGGAATGGTTGAGATCCGACAAAATTCGTTTGCTAGACATGGTTCAGATAAATAGAAAATTTGAAACAATCATAATTAGCTTGTAGAGTACAAGCCATGAACAAATTAATGGAAATTTAATATTAAAATGAACCGAGAAACAAAAATTAAAAATGGATTTGCTGAAGCAAGATATGATAAAATCCATGTAGTGTGATGGTTACAAGGCATTCTGAATCTCGGGATATAGTTGCATACTTCTAATGATTTGCATCACCCAATTCATAAACTCGCAAACATTTTTCTATGTTATACTCTAAAAAAACGTTTTTAAAAAACACAAGAAACCTTAAAGAATAAAAAATGATGAAGGATTGTTGTTGCTGTATGTATGAAGAGATTAAGGAGTCATACCATTCTTATATAGCCACATACTAAACGTATGCAACGTAGAATCAACAAAGTGGAGTGATGATGAGAGTCAAATTCTCAGTATAATAGAATAACTGAATTTGATGTTACAAATTTAATCACTATTAATTTGTGGTTACAAAATTCGATTCAAGATGATATTTTTTTTACTGCAAAATTCGATTCAAGAAAGAATTTATGGTAAAAAAGAATAATCTTATGGACCTTGACGCGACTGTCAATTCCTGAGGCTCATAACATAAGTTCAGCCCGGTTATTTTTTTTTTCTCAATACACCTAAGTGTCCACAAGCTTTCATCCCTTGTTTTTATTCTCCACTTTATATATAAGAGAGTTTCACCTCAAACTTACAATATGGGACATTTCACAAATGTTACATTTTATGGTTTACATGCAACCCACTTGAACCTCCATTTCTCATTCAAACAAATTTCAATTTTGACATATGAATACACTATTACTTAGTATTCACAACAAGGAGTCCAACAATTCCAAGTTCTTATTATTCCGACAAATGAGTTGCCCATAAAAGCCACTGAAAACTAGCCAAAGCCATTTGTTCAAAAATGAGTTCCAATAATCACCCACATGAATAGAAATGACTCTTGACACTGGACAACCTGACTCTAGACTTAACAGATTGAGGGCCTGACTGGTTTAAACGTTGCGGTTGCGTTTGCGGTTGCGGGAGTTTGTTAAGGCGGGTGATTGCAGTTAAGAGCGTTATTAAGCGGTTTGTACGAGTGACATAGCGGTTGAAAACGGATGCGTTTGCGGAATACTTATGACTAGTTGACTTGCAGATGCAGTCGCAGTTAAACAATAAATTAACAATATAAACACCTTATATAATTATAAAACATTAATATTATATCATATTGAATAATTATATTTATAATTATCAATATAACTAATATTAAAAACTTCAAAAATAATAATATGTGTATAATATTCGCATTTATCTTTTTATTTCTATAATTTGGATGAAAGATGTGAATTTTATTTAAAAAAATATTAATGTGAAAAATAAGTTTATATTAGTTTGAAGACACCATTTATCAAGATAATTTTGATTTATAATTTTTCTATATGAAAAAATTATGATATGATTTTAATGAATATTTACTGAAAAATGCCATTATTTATTTAAATTGTAAATATTTTTTTTTGTAACATCTGCTTATATTATTAATATTGAACTGAATGTAAAAATACATAAAAGAATACACAAAATAATAATAAAAAACATACATAAATAAGATGGTAAGATAAAAATAATAGATCAAATGAAGTAAACTTTGAAGATGTTTTTGCTTCAGAGGTCTTCCTGATTAACAGAGTTTCAACTCTGTTAATTTCCTTGGGAGCTTTCACTTTGTCCCATTTCAATACCAGTTTCCTTTGTTGTATTACATTGGCCGTATCCCAATCTGGATCTATTGATAATCTGTGTTGAATCCAATATATTGATTCTTCCATAAGAAATAAAGATTGGGACATCCAATTTTCAACGACTCTAAGAACGTCGCCATACAACAAAAAGAATACATCTTTAAACCGCCGCCTTTTCCATGGATGTCCATGATTCCAGCGATAATTTATATTTTGATACCAAATATAGTATATCAAAATGTAAATTTCAGTAGATACTCCAATTGTTAAACGCCATCTTCTACCTTTGGTGTTGAAGCCTTGTCCATCATACTCCAATAGCCAGAAGTTATCAGACACCATCTTCTTATTTTGTAACTTCCCGCAAAAAACTGATTTTCCCGGATCCCAAATTCGCCGACGAAAGCACCAGAATACTTTTCGAATCTTAAATTCAATCCCTTCACCATGTTGGTGTCGGAAAAGCTGGGCATCGTGAAGAGTCACATGGCCCTTCACGGAGATGACTTGTTCGACTTGGGTAAGGAAAGAGAACCACCCCAATGTGACGAACAATGAATATTTCATCTCCGTTGTCGGAGAAATTTGATGGAAACGGAATTGTTCCCAATAACCGAAGACATCGTCTCTAACCGAATCTCGTAGCTTTTGATCTGCCATCGACGTTGTTGGAATAAAAATCTGGGCCAAAAGACTCAGAACTGGATTGGCCATTGTTGATGATGTGAAGCCCACCGCAACCGTCACCATCAGATAGAGAAAAGAAAAACAAGACATAAACACTGCTGTAGTATCGTCAAACCCTTCATGGAGACTGTCTATCCATTGTATCGGAGTCCCGCAAATTAATTGCAGAGACAAAAGGAGGCATCCATGGAAGAGTGACGATCGCCTTCCAATCGCCTCAGAGAGAGAAAGCGGTTGTCTAATTACTATTGGTTTAAAGTCATGTGGTAAATATAATATCCAAATCTTAAATTTTTGTTCATATATCTGATTATAAATAATTTATATTTATTTTTTTCCTTTATTATTATTATTATTATTTTTAAATTCACCCGCAACCGCAAAAGCTACTGGAAATGAGCTTTTGCTTTTGAGGGATCTGGAGTGGTTTTGAACGTTTTAAAGCGTTTATGATGATTGTTGTCAAACGCCAACAACCGTTACCACTCGCAAAAGCTGTGTTTGCGGTGACAGCGGGAGAACCAATCAGCCCCTAACTCTCTAGACAAAACTCGTAAATATTCAACAAAAAAAAACAACTTTTTAAGAGTACATGTGAAAAATCTACTGTATATAATTTGGTAGCATTTTTCAGCCTTTAACATGTCATTGTTAATAGTTATCGGATTTACTCGACCAAAAGGTGAACATGATGTCTTCAACCTCTCGGGTTTTGATGTAGACCGAGAAAATAGCTATAACACAGCTTCATTCTCTCACAAAACTAGGTTCTCTATTGTGTTCATTTTGAACTTGGAGAATACAGCCTTTCATTTATTACCTTAGAAACGGCTCCATTTCACACACAAGGTGATCCGTCGTTAGCTTTGTTTAAAGGAGTATCATGTACTACTCCATGTATATTTCAAAGCTATGGACCCAAATCATTGAAATCATATCTTCTACACCATACATGTAGCACTGGTAATCATCTTAGGAACTGGGGAGAGACATGAGTCTCCCAATGCTTTTAGCAGATTGAGTTTGACTTAATTTTCCCCTTGAACCTCTTTCATTGGATCTGTAACATCCCGGTTTGAGATAAATGAGGAGAGGCTTAAGAGAATTGATTTGGCTACCTATGTCAACAAAGTGCACTTACCTTTTCGGTCAAAGGTCTACAAGTAACTCCAGAGTTAAGCGTGCTTGGGCTGGAGTAGTTGAAGGATGGGTGACTTTCCGGGAAGTGGTTTCCGAAACCGTGTGAGTGAGGCCAAAACACGGGAAAAGGTTGGGTGTTGATTGCAGGGATAGTAAACAAGCCATTAGGGCCTCTCAAAAATAATGGACCGACCGTCGGACAGGGGTGAGGCCCACGGGCCGAGATGGGCCTGCGGGCCTAGAGAGAGGGTGTGGGTGACTCACCGGGAGGGGCGGTCGGGGCGTTATAGGATCTTCAATCAGTTAGGTAGGATTAACGTCAAACCTCCTCTTAAGTAATAGGCTTTAAACCCATTCCTCTTGATGATTTTACAATTTGATCTTATGACACAGCTTTTGTTGGATCCTAAGTTGTCATTCAAGATTACTCCATTTGAGATCAATTGATTAACATTTTAAGGATGTGACATTGTGACTTTTGCTATGCACCCTTACACTTTCAAGTATTTGTACGAATGTACTTTATTTCAAAGCTCACATTACATCTTTTCAATGACTTTATGTGGTAAGCAACAGCTTCCCCCCCACATTTCTTGAGATAACTAAAGAACTATGCAACTTTGCATTTTCAGATTTATAAGTTCAAAGAATGGTCATAAAGATAAACATTTTTTTGAAACCAATTTTAAATAGATTTCCAAAGAACTTGTCTAGCTTTAGTCCTAGTTATACAACAGTAGGCACTGACACGACAATATTATAAATATCAGAATTTGGTACAATCACAAGTGAAACATCACTACCAATATAAATTTGGTGTGTCGATCGACCCATGATGCAGATGGGTTTATGCTTCAAGTAATAATAACCCTACTTATTGTAACCACAAGTGCACAACAAACGCAATTACTATAGTTCGGGATCAAATCCACAGGGAGATGTAATTTCACTTCAAACTTTAAGAGATTGAAACAAAGCTAAAACAGAAAATAAGATTTCGATGTTGTTGTGTACCAAAGTAAAAGAAAGCAAAGCAAATCAATGAAATAAAAGACTAAAATTCAATAAGGGAAAGACTAGGCTATAGGATAATAGTTGGAAACATGCAATGATATGATATATGAAAGCTTGAGATGTCATTAGAAACCGTCTTGAACACAAAACACAAATGTATGTTCTTCTCACTTTCGTGGCTCCGACCACTATGTTCATTCAACCTGATATACTCAACCTTCGATGGTTATTACAAGCTGAAAACATGCATTAATACATCAGGTTTTGATAGAGTTCACTAGGTTCCTTAAGTCGGCTTTTGTTGCTTAAGACGCATAGCTCATCACTAGTCCCGGGACTTAGATGCAGCACTTTCGAGATTCTATTTCCCTAGGATCAGATTACTAAATGCACGGTAAAGCAATCATGCATAAAGATTAATTAAAGATGAAGAACTATAAGGTAAATCCCATTTAAGCAATCATATTTTGAATATCATGTCATGCAATCATTGATTTCCTTTAACCTAACAAGTGGATCTACTCACTCATGATGCAAAGAACAAAGCAAGAGATGAATAAAGCATGATGAGATTATTGTATAAAAGAGATAAGGGATAAGAAATCTTCTCTATATGAAGTACAAATCGGATTCCTCGGATCCAATGAAAAATTAAGAAAATAAAAAGAACAAAAGATAAAATGTTATGAACTAAACTATATTATCACTATATATTTGATATAGTGGATGATTGATTTAATAAATAAAGAAGAAGAATATGGAAGAGGGAGAGAGAGAGAGTTACGATGTGAGGGAGATAGGAGGAGAGAGAGGTTTTGTACGTGAAAGAGAGGAGTATGAGTGAATTTCTTTTGTATTGAACTTATTCTTATGTATTCAATTAATAGCCTATTTATAGGAGGAAATATTAAACTATTACAGTCGGTAATGTAAGGCGGTGAAAAAACTTAGTGTAAGTAAATAATATAATATTAGGAGGATAATTATCCTTTCTAACACTCCCCCTTAATTATCCGCATGTATTATGTACGGTCTCGTTAAAAAACCTATGTCATAGAAAAACCCAATGGGATAAAAACTATGACTTAGGAAAAAGAGTACCAGCATAATCTCCCCCTGGAAAAGATATAATCTTTTCTTTTCACAAGTTTTGTAGACGACGCATTCCAATACTGTGAACATATGCTTCTTGAACACTGTAGTAGGAAGCGCCTTTGTAAAAAGATCGGCTGCATTGTCACTTGAACGAATATACTCGATGTCCACTTCTTGATTTTTCTGGAGTTCTTGAGTGTATGAGAAAAATCTTGGAGGAATATGCTTCGTTCTGTCACTCTTGATATAACCTTCTTTGAGTTGTGTGACACATGCAGAATTGTCTTCAAATATTTTTGTTGGCTCTTTCTCTGTGACTATTCCACTTGATTCTTGTATGTGATGAGTCATAGACCGGAGCCACACACACTCTCTACATGCTTCATGGAGAGCAATAGTTTCTGCATAATTTGAAGACGTTGCAACCAAAGTTTGCTTTTGCGAACGCCAGGAGACCGCGGTTCCACCAATTGTGAAAACATAACCTGTTTGTGATCTAGCTTTGTGTGGATCTGATAGATATCCTGCATCAGCAAAACCAACTAAAACACATTTTGAGTTTTAGGATAAAATAATCCTAAATCAATTGATCCTTGAAGATAACGAAAAATATGTTTTATTCCATTCCAATGTCTGCGCGTAGGGGACGAACTATATCTTGCAAGCAGATTAGTAGCGAATGCTATATCTGGTCTAGTGCAATTTGCAAGATACATTAGTCCACCAATAGCGCTCATGTAAGGTACTTCAGGACCTAACACTTCCTCGTTATCCTCACAAGGACGGAATGGATCCTTTTCAACATCAAGAGATCTATTAACCATTGGAGTACTCAAAGGAGTTGCTTTGTCCATATAAAAGCGTTTTAACACTCTTTTAGTGTAATTTGACTGATGCACAAATATACCATCTTGGAAATGCTCTATCTGGAGCCCAAGACAAAACTTTGTCTTTCCAAGATCTTTCATTTCAAACTCTTCTTTCATATGAGTTCTTGCATCATCAATTTCCTTTTGAGTTCCAATCATGTTCAGGTCATCTACATATACAGCAATAATCACAAATCCTGACGAGGATTTCTTAATGAATACGCAAGGGCATATCGCATTGTTGACGTAATCTTTACTCAACAAATATTCACTTAAGCGATTATACCACATGCGTCCGGACTGTTTTAGTCCATAAAGTGATCGCTGTAATCTGACCGAACAGATCTCCTTAGCCTTTGATTTCAAATCCTCAGGCATTTTTAATCCTTCTGGGATTTTCATATATATCTCATTTTCAAGAGATCCATATAGATATGCTGTCACAACATCCATGAGATACATTTCAAGATTTTGAGACGCTGCTAAGCTCATCAAAAATCTGAATGTTATGGCATCCATTACCGGGGAATATGTTTCTTCATAATCAATTCCCGGTCTTTGAGAAAAACCTTGAGCCACAAGTCGGGCTTTATATCTTGTGACCTCATTTTTCTCATTTCTTTTTCTTACAAAAACCCATTTGTGCCCGACGGGTTTTGTATTCTCAGGAGTTGTGACAATAGGTCCAAAAACACTTCTTTTATTGAGGGAGAGTAATTCAGCTTGGATGGCCATTTTCCATTTCTCCCAATCAGGTCTTTTGAGACACTCTGATATTGTTTCTGGATCTGGATCATCACTTTCATGATCAATTTCTTTGTATACAGAAAAAGAGAATATTCCATCATCATCTTCTATTTCATTTCTTGTCCATACTTTTCCATTTTGGGCGAAGTTGATGGAAATCTCAAATTTTTCTGTATCATGTTCGTCTTCTGGACGAATCTCTTTCTCTGGTTCTTCAAAAACCAGTTTGTTTATGTCTTTCAGGACATATTTCTTTACCTTCTTCTCCCAAATTCTTTTTCTTTCGGGGATTTTTATCTTTAGAGCCCATCGGCCTCCCCCTCTTTAATTGGACTTTGGGTGCATTTGCTATGCTTCCATCATTTTGTTCCTTAGGAACATCTATCTTTGATGGAACGTTTGCAGCGGGTATATATGATTTCGTCACTCTTTTTGTATCTGTGAACGAATCTGGTAATTGATTTGCCATATTTTGTAAATGTATAATTTTCTGAACTTCCAATTCGCGTTGTTTTGTCGGGGGATCAAAGTGTAACAAATTCGGTGTACACCATGTGAGGTCTTTTGGAACCTCTTTAATTCCTCCCCCTAACGCTGGAAATTCATCTTCATTAAAATGGCAATCGGCAAAACGTGCCGTAAACATATCACCAGTTTGAGGTTCAAGATACCGAATAATACTCGGTGACGTATACCCAACGTATATTCCCAATCTCCTTTGTGGCCCCATTTTTGTTCTTTGTGGCGGTGCTATCGGAACATAAACCGCACAACCAAAAACACGGAGATGGGATACGTTTGGCTCCTGACCAGATGCCAATTGCAATGGGGAATATATATTATAAGCACTTGGTCGTATTTGGAGCAACGCTGCAGCATGCAAAATAGCATGACCCCATATAGAAATTGGGAGTTTTGTTCTCATTATTAACGGTCTTGCAATCAGTTGCAACCGTTTAATCAAAGACTCAGCCATGCCATTTTGTGTATGGACATGTGGAACCGGATGCTCAACATCGATTCCCAATGACATGCAATAGTCATTAAAGGCCTGTGAAGTGAATTCACCAGCGTTATCTAATCTCACTTTCTTAATAGTATAATCAGGGAACTGTGCTCTCAACCTGATTATTTGGGCAATGAATCTTGCGAAAGCCGTATTTCGTGTTGTCAAAAGACACACATGTGACCATCTACTTGATGCGTCAATTAATACCATAAAGTATTGAAACGGTCCGCATGGTGGGTGAATAGGCCCACATATATCACCGTGTATTCTCTCTAAGAACACAGGGGATTCATTCCCAACTTTCGCTGGTGATGGCCGAGTTATGAGTTTTCCTTGAGAACATGCATTACATATGAACTCGCCCGTTTCTAAAATTTTCCCGTATTTCAACGGATGGCCATTTGAGTTTTGCACAATTTTTCTCATCATGACTGAACCTGGATGCCCTAGCCTTTCATGCCAGATTTTGAATGTACTAGTAAACTTCGGGTTTACTGTAACATATGATTCAGTCAGAGTAATATTTGTGCAATATAATCCGGAGGACATCATTTTCAACTCTTCCAATATTTGTCCCTCCGATTTGATGCAAAGGATTTCAATGCCATTCTTATTTATAGTCTCTATGTGATACCCATTTTTACGGATATCTTTGAAACTTAATAAGTTTCTGTAAGACTTCGGGGAATATAATGCATCATTTATTTCAAACTTTGTTCCCCTTGGCATTGAAAAATTGGCTCTTCCAGAGCCCAATATTATTTTTGCACCACCAGAAATGGTATTCACGCTTTCAACGGAATCTTTAATTTTGAGACCGGAGAAATATCTTTTATCTTTGAGTATTGTGTGCGTTGTAGCACTGTCTGCAAGACACATATCTCCATCACGAGTCTCAAATTTCGTCATTTCTGGATTTAACAAAGATGCATTAATAAGTATTAAACAATACAAAGCTTATATCACAAGATACAAAATACCACATTAAAAACTATTTTACAACAAAAAGATCAAACTTTTAGGTTATCTTCTTCATGTCCTTTTAGTCGTCTGTTTTTCCGTTGATCTCTTCGGAGTCAACCAGAAAATCTGAAACATCAAGATGAGTATCATCGTTTAGGCCGTGAAAGGAAGGACCGGGTTCATTGGAGATGAAGTTAGTCTCACTTTCTTTCTCCTTTGCTTTTTGTGATTCCCGGTACAGATCGGCTAAGTGTCTGGGTGTACGACAAGTACGCTCCCAGTGATTTTTCATGCCGCATCTGTAGCAAACACTTTCTTTTTGCTTTTTAGAATCTCGGCCGTAATCATTTGCTCGAGATCTTTTATATTCCTTTCATTGTTGGACTCGTCGGGACGGTACTCTTTTCCTTGTCCCCGACCACGTCCACGGCCACGGCCACGACCTCGGTTTCGACCATATCCACGTCCACGTCCTCGTCCATTATTTTGGCTGGACGATGCTACATTCGCTTCTGGGAATGGAGCAGCTCCAGTGGGACGAGTCTGATGGTTCATCATCACAAGCTCGTTATTCTGTTCTGCAACAAGGAGAACTTCCATCAATTTTGAATAACGAGTATAGCCATTTGCCCGATATTGTTGTTGCAGGACTATATTTCCAGGGTGAAATGTGGAGAGCGTTTTTTCAATCATATCATAATCGCTCACATTTTCTCCACATAGCACCATTTGGAAATTATTCTGAACATAGCAGAATTATATTCAACAACACTTTTATAGTCCTGAAACCGGAGTAGCCACTGGTATTTGGCTTTGGGCAAATCTATATATTTTTGATGGTCAAATCTTTCTTTCAAAGATTGCCAAAGATCCGCAGGATCTTCTTTAGTGATGTATTCATCTTTTAAACCATCGTGGATGTGATGAAGTAGAAAGATCATGGCTTTCGCCTTTTTCTCATCGGATGTCTCTTTCGACTTGTCAATGGCATCAAGAAGCCCATTTCCTTTTAGATGCATTTTTGCACCTATTGCCCATGTCATATAATTGTTTCCAGAAATATCAAGGGCGGAAATTTCGAGCTTAGCCAAATTTGACATGATATCTGCATAGATCATATAGTTCATTAAATATAATTCAAATTCAAATTTGCAAATAAAAATTTGAGCATTATAACAGTATAAATTTAGCAGAAATTTAGATGGCAGAAAGTAAATAGCGAAAAAGTAAATTACAGAAAAGTAAATATTCAGGAGAGGCAAAGCCTCTACTCCAAGAGGAGAGAGGGAGTTACGATGTGAGGGAGATAGGAGGAGAGAGAGGTTTTGTGTACGTGAAATGAGATGGGAGCTATTGAGTAAATTTCTTTTGTATTCAACTTACTAGGTTTGAAGCCCCGCGCAAGCGCGGGGTTGTTTGCGATAATTTTTCTTTTTAATTTTATTTATACTCGTTGATTGGAATTATGATGATTTTGTATTACCTTTCATTTTTTTTTTTATGTTTTGAGTTAACTCAACTACTAACACTAAAAAATATGAGTAATTTGTTTTTTTTTTTAAATTTATTAGGATATTAAGACCCCGTTTTATCTCGAGTTTCTATTTCTAAAATTTTATCATGTTATAAATATTATGTTTTGTTTACTTTCTCTTTTTTTTTACTTCTATTAGACTATACATGTATTTGATTAAGGTTAAAATTTATAAATATGTATATGCATTTGACTGAAGGTTAAAATTTGTAAACATATTCTTGTTTTTCACTACAATTAAATTTACATATAAAACTCCATTTCTATTTGTTTAGAAAAACAAACTCTAACTCTAATGTTTCATTAGCTTTCTATTATCTTAATTAACTTATATTCAACTTTTTAACTTGTAAACACATTATAACATTTTGAAATAGGATAAATACTTTGAATAAAAAGATTAATATGTACTATTTGAAGTTAAATATTTTTTTACTCCATCTCAATTTTATATTCCAACTTTTTGATAACTTTTAACATCAAACTATCACATACTTTCTATTAATTAATAAATTTGTCTATTTTTATTAAATATGAATAAATGTAAAGAAATATAAATAGTCATATAAAATATTTTAAATACAATTTAATGTTTTTATGCTGATGTGGATACTCTAAATGGAGAGAGCAACTCCCTAATTATATATAAGATTTGTATGATTCAATTACAAAGAGAGATAGCCTATTTATAGGAGGCAAATATTCTTAAACTATTATAGTCAGCAATGGGTAAGGCGGTGAAATAACACTTAGATTGTAAGTAAAGAATATAATAATGTTAGAAGGATAATTATCCTTTCTAACATAAAAGAGTTTATGTGTGCAAATATCTTAAGCGGTGCCTCTTCTCTCTTCCTTCAGGCCGGCACACCTCTCTTCTCTCTGTATCCTACGCCGCTCTCCTCTTGCATTCAGCACACCCTTTGGTTGAGGCTAAAAACATGTATTTATAGATATGGTTTTATGCTCTTTTGTTCTTTTTTGTATTATTTGTCATATTTTAATTTGCAAAGACTCCAAAACCAACAAATACAAGAAAACTACCTTTAAAAATATAAAATGTTTATAGAATTATGTTTTAACATGTAAATATGGATATATCAACTCACAAAACTTGTTACGAATAACATGGAAAACGGCCAATCGAACCCTCAACTCCTGCTTGAGGTGCCAATCAGTACCTACACAATTAACGTATGCAAATCGATATCCACACTATACAAAATCCTGTTTCCAGTACCCGAACTCTAAATCATTTGGCCGAATCGATGTTTGACCAACATCCCATTAGTCAACCTCGTCATCCCGTTAACGGCAGTGACTAAGCCGCCATGTCATCTGCCCCGTCAGAACGGAGGTCCAAAACGACCGAAACAAAAACAGAAATTGAAATCGCGGTTTTGACTCGATTTTCCGGTTTAATCCGATTTAGTAAAATTGAACTGGAGATTTCGATTTCATTTAGAAACAATAATTTCGCTTGAAACGACGTTGTTTTGTTTCATGGCAAAAATCTAATTTGAATAAACGGTTTTGTAGTTCGTATCTGGTTTAATTAAATTAAACAGTGAAATTAGCGTCGGTTATTATTAACCTAATAATTCTAAACGATCTCGTTTTACACTGAGACAACTTAAACGTCGTTTCTCTTCCTTAGCGGTTCGTGAAACTCATCTTCTGCCTTGACTGAGAAAGAGCGTTTTGGAAGTCGAGTATGGTAGTTTGTGAAGAGATTTCGTCGATTCAGCTACCAATTAAAGGAATTGTGATTCTGTGTTAGTGTGGATTCGATTTCTATTTGGAAATGAGGTAAGAGTAAAAATTTTGGCGTTTGTTTATGATCTCGAATTCTTTAATAATTATGGGATAATGATGGGAATTGTTTAATCAGAGGTCAGATTTTTTTAATGGATACGAATTCTTTGATACTTGTTGCAGTGATGCCAAATTCATCATATATTACGGTGGGAAGTTTGTGAGGAGCGAAAATGGCGTCCTTGCTTATTATGGTGGCTCCGTTCATGAGCACTTTTCACCGGCGAAAGAATTGTTCAACGGATTACCGGAGGGATTGTACAGACAAAGAGTGTGGTACAAATTGCCATATGAAGACAAAAGTGAGTTAAAGATTTTGTGTGAGGGTTTAGATAATTTTGAGAGGATGTGTGAAGCGGCTAAGTGGACTTCTATGGTAGAGGTTTATATGGAACGTGATGAAGATTATGAAGAGAATGATGGCATTGATAATGAGGAAGGAAGAGATGCTGGAAATGAGATAGAGAGAGAGGCTGCAAATTAGGGAGGTAGAGAGACTGAAATTGATGCAGAGAGAGAAGCTGCACATGAGGGAGATAGAGAGGCTGCAGACGATGCAGGGAGAGAAGCTGGACATGAGATGTGCGAAGAAGAGGCTCGGGTTGAAGAATTGGTTGCTGGTTTTGTTGATGAGGAGGAGAACAACAATAATGACTACCAACGAACTCCTCCTCGTGCATCAGATTCAGATGGTGAAGAAGAAGAAATTCAGAGCTGTTCTTATGATAGGTGGAGAAGAGGAAGTGGGGAAATCCAGATTAGACAAGTTTTTTGAGAGCATTAAATAGTTTAGAGAGGCTGTTCTTGAGTATGCATTGAGAGGAGGCTTCAATGTACGGTTTAGTAGGAGTTCCTTTTTGAAGTGCACTGTTGTGTGTGGTATCGAGAAGTGCAAATGGAGAGTCTACTGCTCTTATGAGAAACCTATTTCTCATTAGATGATTAAGACATTTCTAGAGGACCATACATGTTACACAGACGGTCGATGCAAGATGTTGTCACAAAAAGTGATTTGTGACATGTTCATCCATGATCTGAGAAATGATCCTTTGCTGAAGCCGATCGAAATGCAGAACAGAATTCACGAGCGTTACAATATGGCTCCTTCACATGATCAATGCAGGAAAGCGAAAAAGAAAGCGCTGGAGCTCATAGAAGAAGAATTCAATGAACAATATGCAAGGATGAAAGATTATAGAGATGAGCTTAAAGCGTAGGTTTTTTATTTTTGCTTCTTTCGTTTTTTGGAAAGCTATTTTGTTTCTCTGTGTGATTTTTTCTCTTAATTTTCTCAGGAGAAACCCTCACTCAACAGTGGAAGTTAGGACAAAGATTAACGAAAAAGGGACTGAAGTTTTTTATAGCTTTTACATGTGCTTTCGGGTCTGCGCGACACATGGAAAGACCACTGTAGACCAATCTTCGGAATAGATGGTTGTTTCCTCAAAGCCAATGTCAAAGGACAGCTCTTGGCAGCTGTTGGGAGAGATGCAAACAACCAAATATACCCTTTTGCTTGGGCAGTTGTTCAAGTGGAGAACACCGAGAGTTGGCTGTGGTTCATTCGTCATCTGAAGAATGACTTAGGCCTTGGAAATGGTGATGGATTCACTGTCATTTCAGATAGGCAGAAGGTATGTTTAGCAATGGTGTTTTTTATGTTTGCGTTTTTGAGAAAATCTGGTGACTATGTACTGTTTCTAATTTCTTGATTATCTTGATTATGGTTGTTTCTTCTCTTTCCAGGGGTTACTCAATGCTGTTAATGAAGTATTACCAGAGATTGAGCATCGAATGTGTGCTAGACATATATATGGGAACATGAAGAAGGCCCACCCTAAGAAGCCTCGGATGAAAAGCTTGTTCTGGAGTGTAGTAGAGAGTTTCAATGATGGTGACTATGAGAGAAATTTGGCCGAGATGAAGAAATATGATGTTGAGGTCTATGAGGCATTCATGTGTAGGAGGAATCCGACAAACTGCAGCCGAGCTTTCTTCAAGACTCAGTCATGCTGTGGCGGCTTAGTCACTGCCGTTAACGGGATGACGAGGTTGACTAATGGGATGTTGGTCAAACGTTGATTCGGCCAAATGATATAGAGTTCAGGTACTGGAAATAGGATTTTGTATAGTGTGGGTATCGATTTGCACACGTTAATTGTGTGGGTACTGATTAGTACCTCAAGCAGGAGTTGAGGGTCCGATCGGCCGTTTTCCCCTAATAACACATCCACCATTAATAGTGTGGATAAAATCTAGGCATTCACATAAATATCAGAATTCTAGTCAGTCTATTCCACAAAGTCATAGATGATAGACCACTCCCAACTTGGATAGCAACTCATCTAACTTGTCACTATTAGAAACGTATTTGTAAAAGTTTTATTTTTTTGTAATACGTGTAATTCAATTCACATACATGCCAAACTTGAACTATCATACAAAATTTATTAAAAACATACCAAATATATATTAAACAATTTAATCACTTGAAAATAAATTGCAATAAAATAATTAAATTAAAATTCCAAAAAATCAGGAATAAAAAAAATTAATTAGATGCAGAAATACCAGTTTAATACAATTTAAACCAATATAAAAATCTGCATAAAACATGATTTAATGTATGAAATTAAATTATTGAGTCAACGTTAGACCTGTCCATCGGGTCAAACTTCCTGCAAATAAACGATAGAGATTAATGCAAGAACAAAACCATTATCATATATGATGTAAGGTAAAGCAATCTGAAATCAATCCATAAACTAAAGAATTTCCAACTAGGAAACAAATGCAGCAAAAATTTGCAGAATTTGTAAACAATCTGGGATCAATTATCAGATGCAACACACAAAGACAAATATACATTGTGTGCTGATAAACACCCATCCTTTCTTGATATGCAAAAACAGATTCATAACATTCTTAAAAAATGTGCAGAATAATCTGAATTAATGAATAGACTAAAGAAAATAATTAAAATAAATTCTTCAAAATTCCTGCAGATTAAACAATAATTAACAGATCTTAACAAAAACTCAATTTTTTGTATCTTTCTTTGATAGCCCTACAAAATAATCAGAATAAAATTCTAAAAAATCAGAAAATTAACTCAATTATTCATAACAGAACTCTTGGATGAAGTTTACCAAATACACATTTACAAAAACATGCAAAGACCCATTCATTAGAGATAATTGGATTTTCTAAGGGCTCTTATCATGTGGTAGGCACATGAGCTTTCTGCTTCTTTTTTCTTTGGTTTTTCGTCTCCCTTCATATACAACGTCGTACCTTCTTCACTTTGGATCTTTATTTTAATTGAACTAACAAATCTCTTCCTATTTACTGGCCCTCCTTCTTCCTCAACACTGTAAAAGAGTTCCATACACAGTAACTAAATATTTTAGAGCATATCTGACTTTTCTCTACTCTTGGATATAATTAATCAAATAACAATTTTTGCATCTCTAAGTATAGTGGGACTAAGAAAGATATATACCTGTAAATAGGTTTGGGCCATTTTTGCTTGGAGCAAATCTCAAACAACTTCCTTTTGGCATCTTCAAGGTAAATCTCAGCACCATCCTCATCAATGACCATATCAATAGGCATAACTTCCGCCAACTTTCTTAATGCTTCCTTAACAGCAATCAGCTTTGCTATATCTTTATTCTCAGCACGACCAAAACCAAAACATTCATCATCAAGATACACACCAGCGATACTGCTTTTGCCATCTTTTGAATACCTGATCTCGATTCGCTTGTCGTGTTTATGACAGAACTGAAAAAGCATACTCACTGGTTGAGGTTGTTGATGCAGATCATCCAATGTAACTAGTGGCTCCAAAAGATCCCTGATGATCTGAAAATTTATAAATAGGAAGCCTTATCAATTTCAGAATTATGTAACCTAGAGTTAAAGAAAAAGACAAGACACATCAGTAAGATTTAAAGAAGAAGTAGACACAGACCACCCAAAGTCTTTGTAGATCAAAATTCAGATCAATATAAACAGCTCCAGCTAGAGACTCTACGAGGTCAGCAAGAACTTTCGGAGCTTTGACTAATCCGCCATAAGCAACTGAATCATCTTCTAAATCCACCACACACTTACACACACACACACACACACACACACAAAAACAACTTGATGTGAATATATATCATATGAATATGTTCTCAATTTAACATGATAACTCAATATAATTCTGGTACATCTAAAGATCGTTTAAGCTTTCACTTTAGAAATCACTCTGGCCAACGGCTTCAGAGGGCTTTTGAACGTAAAAATAAATAAAAAATCAACCAAAACATGTTTTCAAAGGGTTCCTAAATGAAAAAAATCAACCAAAATTATGTTTTCAAAGGGTTCTTCAATGTAAAAATCAACCAAAAACATGTTTTCAAAGGGTTCTTGAGTGCAGAAAACAATTCTAAAAACAAGTTGTATCACTGAAATTTCAGACTAAAACAGCACAAGACTGGTCACCTTTTCATCTAAGGAAGGAGCATTGCGCCGAAGAAACCGATAGAGCCCGTGCTTGAGTGCGACACGAGCGAGTTTCTCTGTACTAACATTAGCAGCTCTCAACAGAGACAGCTCGTGAGGCTCGATCTTAGGGTACGCAAGATACAAGTAATTCGTAAGAGCCAGACCAATGGCGCTATCGCCTACGAACTCGAGCCGCTCATACGAAGGAAAGTCGACACAAGAGGTGTGCGTAAGGGCTTCCTTCGTGAAACTGTATTTCACGATCTTCTCCACGGCTTTCATAGACTCCATCTCCGGCGTAAGAGAATGATGGAAACGGTGGATTTCGGCTGAAGGCGGAGTCGGCGAATTGGATAAGTTACAGCGAGTGATCGCCTGGAAATTGTAGTCCCGTGGTGATCGAAAGTGATCCATGAGAGAATATGATTCTTAAAGCCTAAAAGCGAAGTCGATCATGTAGACAAAGAGTCGTTTCTCTGTTTGTTGTATCTATTGTATTTCCCAATTTAATTACTTTTGACTTTTTTCATTGACTAGTCGTAGTCTTCTTCCGTAGAAATTAAACAGTTTTTATTTCGGGTCACAAAAACACAAGCTTTTAAAAATTCGTCCTTAAAGGGCAAAAATTGCCTAAAACCCTAAACTAATTTCTTCATCAGTCTTTGGGTCGAGGAAGTGTGTGATTTGTTGATATCGCGAGTGTTGGTAAGAAGAGATCTTAGGAGTTTCTGAGGTTTGCTTCCCTTTCCGTTTCTTCCGCGTTTCAGTAAAACTAAGAAAATGGGGGATTGATTTGGTTTTTGTATTGCGATTCCGTGATTGATTAGCGTATTGAGATCGTCTTTTATTTTTTTATTTTTAATTGAAATTAGGAATTCGCGTTGTGATTGTAAAATGATTTCCGAGTTTTGTTTGATTGTAAATAGGGTTTCGGTGTGGTTGTAGTGTTTCTTGTTTCTGGAGAGTGTTGTTGTAATATTGGCTACATTTCAAAGCTGTGTTTTTGATTTTTGGTTTGGAATTTAGGTTTCGTCATGGAGGGAGAAGAGAGTTTGTTGGATGCTATAAATGAAGAAGAAGAATTTGAAAACATGGAAGATGTTGACATGGTTGATGCGGAAGAAGGCGAGATTGTTGTGGAGAATGACTTGAATGATGGAGGCAGAGGTAAAGAAGGGTTCGTGGATAAGAACAATGGACTGAATCAACCAAACAAGAAGAAGAAGAAGAAGAAGAAAAGAAGAAACGGCCCTGTCATTGGGAAACCCATGGATTTAGACAGGTTTATATGGAACTATTTGGTGGATGGATGTTTTCTGATTATAGATTTTGGCTATGGTTGAATTTCTCATAGTCTGATGATTTCGTTATGGCAGGTTTGTTAGGGATACTTGCAGACGCCTCAAGGAAAAGAAGTCTTACATGGTGTACACAGCTGTTGGGTGCCTTGGAATTGCCGCCCTAAGTGATCTTGTCAATGAGGTATATATACTCTTGCTTCAAGATGGTTTATATGTCATGTGTTTAGTCTGTGTGAGACAAGCATGAGTGGCAATCTTGATTAGCTATATTATTGTTTCACCTGCAGTTCAAGATGTTTGTTGTTGGAGCGTTCTTTGCTACTTCAAATACTGTGCCATGTCTTGAGATATAGCTGGTGAAAACTTCATAAATTAGGTAGATGATTTGTTCTCTTCCTTAACTTTTTTTATTGATATAGACAATGTCGACAAGACCAGTGAAACTATCCCATGACTGAGATTAACAGTGTCAACCAATTTATCATGATCGAGTGATGAATGTCCATATAGCCATGCTTTGTGTATTGTTTTCTCTCTGTTTCTCGCTCTGTTTGCTTGAAGTTGGTTGAGATTCTTTCTACTCAAGAGTCCTGCTAGAGAATTTGATATGTGATTGACGATGGTAAGAAAATATTGTTTGTCTCAGGTGGAAGCAGTGGAGACCTGTGGAGGTCAGGTAACTGCTGACGGAAGTAGGAAGCGAACAAGTGGAGGTGTGTTATGGAACATCATCAAAGCAAGACAACCCGCAGCTTACAGAGAGATAATGAAGAAGACCAGAGAGTTTGAGGTATGTTGTTGGCTATTATCATACTACAACATGCTTTGATTATATATCCTTCTTCTGTTTTACCTTAAATGTAGAATTGCAGTCCTATGCTTCTGATTCTCTCTCTCTCTCTGTATCTTACGTTATATAACTTTGCAGAAGCAATTTAGGCATCCAAACGTGGGGCCAAAACCAGTGCCAAATATAGAGGGAAATGCTTTGGCATCTCCTGATGAAGCTCTAGTGGGAGAGATGTGTGTTACGCCTGTAGCTGAGCAGAGCGAAGCCAAGCCGCAAGAAGAAAGGAAATCTGTTCATGAGAGGATCAGGATACCTGTTTCATATGATGACCTTTTCACAGAAGTACCTCTGGATACTTCGCAAGCACAACACTCTTCTGCTAAAGCTCATTTATGAACATGTTTGCCTTTGAATTATTTTGACTAGGTAAACAACATTATCCCAGCAGCTGGATTGCTTCTTCTCTTATGTACGAAAAAGCAATAGTTTTGTCGGAAATGCAATTTAACTAGCCAATCTATCTACATACCAATTTTCCAGATTATATACATACGCAAACTTGAGCATCTAGGTAGAAATTCACTACAAAACCATCAGTCAAACCCATAAAGATGTTCATTTTAACTTCTCAGTACATGACGCAGCTTGTTCAATACAACTGAATTGTTAGCTTGATCATCACCACGATATGGATTTGTTGTCCTGTGGTTGCTTGTCTTTGCATGAACTTCTTTCTCTGTGAAGGCGATGATTGAATATCTCCTGAACTGCCATCATCGTGCAAGAGCCATGTTTATATGGCATCACCTCTGGTGCTGACCTTGGGTTTAGAGAAGTTGTATGCGTCATACATAGAGAGAGAGAGGGGATCATATTCGGAGAATCCGGGTCAACTTGTAAACCTGAAAAAATATAAAATTGGATTTTGGATTAATAAGTGACCAGGTAAGTGTCTTAACACATATGGCAGCGAGTAACATAGAGAGGGAGAGAGAGAGAGAGCTGACTTGGGCAGTCCTGCTTGGCAAAAACACTTCTAAGCAATTTCTCTGACCATCAATTCTGCGCAAATGTGGATTTGGCTCAAAATGAGGAACATAGCACATCCTTATTTCTTTGAGAACTAGGATCTTTATCTATGCGGCAATTACAAACCTCTTGCTAACGGATCGTTGAAGATACTGGTCCTCCTTTATAATTCCTTGACCCCCGTATTTTACTTCATCAGAGTTCAGTATCATCTGCAGAATTGAGGTGAAATGCATAAGAAAACTTCACAGTAATGATATTTTTCTATTCACGAGTAAGACGAAACATATGATGACAAAACAATGATTACATTGACACTCTCTTGGATGAATGGTGGAATATCTATACAAAATAATGAAAAAAACTTACGGTATATTCACCAGCTTCCTCTACGCCGACACCATACTTTTCATATGAATTTGATGGGTGGAAGTTAAAGATAAATAGGAAAGGACCCCTCGCGAACGATATCACCTGCAGATGAAAAATAAACACCATTAGTTGACTTTGAAGCAGGTTCATTATTCAATACCTTTAATTCCTTCTGCATATTTTTGGCAGCATAAATCTACAATTGTGTTTGGTTTTATTCCTGAAAAATACTGTATATAAAGACATATGGAAACACCAGCATGCCAGTGAATTTCAGGAACCTAGAGAAGCCAATTCAGTGGGTACGTTGAATATTTATTTTCTGGTTCCTACTCTGAACCCACACAATTTATAGTACAAAGAAAAGAGAAGCAAAAGAGTCAAGTACCATATTGGCATCATTCACGTGGTGAATGCTGGGCAGGCCTCTTGAAAAGATACCCTTGCTTTTATCCAAGTCCATTAGCTCCTACAAACAAAGAAAGAAACGAGTAACTAATACAGTATTGAATAGTTATGACAGTTACATACATAAGCAGTTTTTTCAGAGAGTCTAACAAAATAATGGATATGGAAGCTATGCGTTTATAAAGATGTGTTAAGACTGATACCTTGTCAAAGGAAAATAACTGATGATGGATTCCACTTTCCAGCAGGTCCCAGCGACGGTTAGCAAGTGAAAACGAGAAGTTATTACTCTGCGTTGGAAACTCAACCCTCTGAAAAAAGGATGGAACATCAGAAACATGAAGATGATATCTTTAGAACAGCGAGGATTGGGAGAGTTACCTCAGGATGTCCAAATTCATTTCCCATGAAATTGAGATAAGCACGGCCGCCAATTGTAAAAGTAATCAGTCTAATCATCTGTTTCACGCAGTGACAAGAAACGAAGCTTTCAGAATTTAAGTGAAATAAGCACCTACAGAACTAATGAGCATGCAGCTCGTCTTCCGAGTTAGGAATAATAAATTCAGCTAAACAATTTTAGACACCAAGACTGGATAAACAAATGCACAAATAGAAGGACGTCCTTGCACTAATTGATTTCACTACCTAGTAAGCTTGAAAATAAAACACACCTGTAGTCTGTGAAGGAGTAGAAGATAACTAAAGAAAGGGATACCTTATGTAGTGAAACTCCCCTGTCTAGCAACTCTCTACCTCCAGGAGAACCATTTTTGACTCCACCAAACAATATTTCTGCAAATGAACGCCCTCCTGATATGGACTGGTAGAAAAGTAGAACAAACAACAATGTTAATGCAATTTACTTGTAAAGTTGTACAGCTTTAGAAATCTAAAGTTACAAAGTATATACTTGGTTGTGACTTTCTACATAGCTCAGCATCTTGTCTGCATACTCTTTGTTAGCTACCAATGTACTGACTATCTGCAGCACTGACTAAACATCAGAGAACGGGACAAAAGTCTTGTTCTGTCACATCTAACAATGAAACTTGAAAAGCTATGACCTTGCCCATGCTCCACTCATTATCCGGTACGCTGTCAAGAAGAGAAACCCACATTTCTGTCGCAGAAAGATTCACATAATAATCAAATCCAAGTCCACCTTGAGAAATTGGCTCACACAGCCCAGGGTAATATGTTGCCTAATAACAAAAGGAAACTTTATTAAGTTCCACATACTGATTAATTAGTGAGACCCAACGATGCAGATCACGACAGAATAAATTCAGAAAATCAACAAGAATCTTAAACATTTTTCCCACAGATATATCTGACACTAAACGAAAACTTTTTTTCCTGCCTATGGTCAATCTACATTGGCTTACACAAGCCAGTCGACACTGCAGTTACTGTTATGGGTTGTACAAAGCACATATATACATGTTACCGGTTACTCTCTCTCTTTAAGAGCTATATGACCTGCCCAACCTAACTATGCTATAAATAAGGAACATTAAATGATATGTAACTTGCTGATAAAAAAGAAAGAAAGATGTACTTACATCCTCAGCAACTGTTATTATATTTGGATGTAGATCATGCAAGATTTCATTGGCCAAAAGGAGGTACATCAGAGCATCTCTGTCAACATACTGATTGCAATAGCTGCAAGATAGACATCAACAGTTGGACCAACTGTCACCAAAACCCAAATTACACAAAAAAGCGTAGCATATAAAGAATATAGATGTCTTACTCGTCCCAACCGCTGTTAAAAGAAGCAAAACCATTGTGCGTATAGATCATTGAAGCAAGTGAGTGAAATTGGTAACCATCAACTTGATACTCTGTAATCCACCTACAAAAGGTAATTGCAAAAGGATCAGATTTCTGAACCAAAGAAGTGCAAGACACTTTTCTGCTAGATCCGAAGAGTGAGTGCACCCAGTACATTATCCACAAATCATATAACAATGCAGTTTCCTTTACCAGTTCAAATTTGAAATGAGAAAATGAAGAACATCCAAGTCACCGTATTTGAACATCCGGGTGCCCCAGTGTTTGTGATGCCCCCTTTTACCTATTTGCAAGATGAAAAAGTGAAACATGGTGTTTTAAGACATGCTCATATTCAATTATGTCAGACATAATTGAGGCCATCTTTAGACTTACAAAAAGGTTAGGAACAGATGAAAATAGTACAAGTAAAAAGTATATCCAAGGCATGAAAAAAAGTAAAAGTAAATTTCTAGTATGGAAAATTACCGTAATGAAAATAGCAATCATTTGAACCATCAAAGAGCGAAAGCCCAACCATTTGATCAGCTGCTGCATAAGAATGCACGATGTCCAAGAAGACAAGAAGTCCTAGGCCTGTATGTAGATTAGATCAGGTTTGCCATGTGCTTCACTAACCACATGTTTGACTCAAAGGTTCCGCAACATCAAGAAGAGAAGAGATGTGAGAAATACTTACCATGTGCTTCATCAATCAAGCGTTTGAAGTCATCTGGCGTTCCATATCGGCTACTAACAGCAAAGAAATTAGTAACCTGAAACGGTGATAGATGAAATTATCGCGAATGAGGATAGAAGAAAAAAAAAATACTTGGACAGATTCAAAATTAGTAAAAGTTAAAGTTAAAGGGAAAGAAGTTTAGCTTGCTGACCCTATAACCAACAGTAAAATAGTCCTTGTGCTCAGGGATACCAATCAACTGGATTGCATTGTATCCTGCTCTCTTTACATGAGGAAGGACCTGATGTTTCACAAGCCACAGAAAGACTCAGATGTGTGCATGATACGATTGCAATTTGCAAGTAAGAATATAATCGATAAATAAGGAGGTACCTTCTCAATAAATTCTTCGAAAGAGGAAATTTTCGGCTCAGACCCACTGATTCCAACATGACATTCGTATATCCGCAAGGACTTTGGTTTGTCTGGCTTGGAGTATTTCCACTTGTATGCAGATTCAGGAGAAGGTTCCCAGTGAATTGCGTAAGCTTGCTTTACCTCGTCCTCTATTTTAGAAAACAGTGAACCAATGCTCAATATTTTCAAAGAAAAATAGCAAAAAATACATTATCATGGAAATATATAATAACAAATACGTGATCTTCAAAGAATCTCAGCGTAGAAACATTAGGCACTAGCGTATATAAATAAGAAACGCTTCTTAACTTATCTGACGAATATTGTTCAGTAAATACAAGTAAAACTAGCTTCCTCTTCTCCTAACCATATATATATACGAGATGTTATCATACCTGGTTGCACATATGTAGCCCAAGCAGGCACTCGTTCAAGCGGTCCATCAGGAGTATTGAAATACAATCTATACTTGCTTTCATGTGGAACAGCTGGAATGTACTTTTTCAACCACGCTTTTCTTCCTTTACGTGTCTCTAACCAGTATGGAATTGGTGGTTCTTTCTCATAAAACTTCTTGGTCCATTCAGGAGATGTCACGACATGATAAATATCATACGGCTTTCCGTGACCTTTATCAATGATGTCGCATGGTGGTAGATTACTCGGCGGATCATTTTTATGCTCCTCTTTCCACTGTTTATATCTCGTT